GGTGGTGGTGGAAAACAGGCCCATCGTGGTTTCTGTTCTGCCCTCTCCTCTTGGCGGCCTCCGCGCAGTGACGAACCTCGCGAAGGCGTTCGTGTCGTCATCGTCGTCCTCTCGGGGCCCCCTCGTCGGGCCACGGGGCCATCCGGGCTGCCCCGGGGAAGGAGTCCGGAGCTCCAGGGGGTCCACGCGGCTGGAACAGAGGCACGCCGTCAGGGGCCAGGGTCTATGGTGGGAGAACAGGGGCGCCCTCGAGGGCGCGAGGTTGTTCGCGCTCTTCGCGGTTCGGCTCCGATTCCTCCTCATCCTCCTCTTCTCCCCTGGGAGGCGGCGCGAGAGCGCGAAGCTGTGCGCACTTCGCGCTCTCGCGCAGCGCGCAGCGCGAAGTTGGGAGCCCTTGGAGGAGGAGACCGCGGGCGCTGCACGATGCAGAGGCCCTTGGCTCGAAGGGGCCGGATCGGGGGCGGGTGGGCTCGGGGGGGCATCGGCCTCGCTGAGCTGGGCAGCGCTCGGGGAGGAAGCGCGTCGACCCCCGACCGCCCGCTCGTCGTCGTCGAGAGGGGCGCGCGGTAACCGGCCCACCCCGCGCGGGAGCCGTCGAGAGCCGATCGCCGAGCCATCGGCGATGTGTCGCCGATTCCGTGTTTTTGATGCCCCCCCTGCCCGCCGTGGCCACAGGGGGCGCGCCCCAGGAGCTCCACAGAGGCCCGAAGCGGCCCCGAGCTTGGAGCTTCGATGCTCCTGGGAGGTCTGGGACCCAGGGCTCCGACGATACCTTAATTAATCGCTTCGCTCATTCCGCCGGCCCTCGAGCGCCTCTTGGGGGCCTCTTTGGGGCCTCCTAGGGGCCTCTTGGGGGCCTCTTGGGACCCAGAGCTCCGACGACACGTCATTTCCAGTAGGTGCGTGCTTGCCCCGAGTTCGACCGCTGGGGCCCCGGCTTGGCCCCCGGGGCTATTATCAAGTCGGGCCTGTCCCCCTACAGGAGGATTTTCGACTAAAAATAAAACAAGACCCCAAGAATAGTGACAAAAATATCCAAAAATAGTCTGGGGACTATTTTTGGTAGCATTGTTTGACCTTTTGGGGGTATTTGTTAGGTATTTCAGATTTTTCGTCCAAGATCCCCCTGTAGCGGGACAGGCCCGACATAAGGCTATTAACCACGGACCTGGGACGAGCAACTGTCCCCAGGGAAGGGGTCGGGACCTCCGGGGCCGCACACTGAACAAGATCACATCGTCGGATGTCTGGGGAGCCCCTCCACCCATGACATCCGACGGGTTGATTCTAAGACCGCGGGCCCCAGAGGTCCCGACCGATTCCACGTGGGGCAAGCCCCCAGCCCCGATCCACTCCCGGTGGCCACGGGGCCCGGAAATGGCCTGCATGCGTGCCGAAACCAAGGAACACGCCACGATGGCAACAGCAACTCCAACACAATGAACCTGGCGCGACCCCATGTGGCGGCATTCTTTCTTCCGGGTCAGCTCAACGCTGTCTTCTGAGCATTGCGAGGCAATTCTAGGCAAAGCCGTGCTCGGCATCGCCTTGCGCTGCCACCTCAGACACACAGGACGGGCAAGTCCCTCGGAGCCCCGCAGCCCGCGCAACCCGCAGGCCTCGGCGCCGCGCTGGCTGGGCCCCGACCCCTTCGACGACCCCCCCGCGCTGCGGGTGCACCGCGCCGCCACCACGGTGTGCGGGGCAGACCTGCAGCCGCTGGCGCGCGCCTCGGCCGCCGCCCCCGCCCCGCCTCGGCGGCCCCCCGCGGCCCTCGGCGGCCCGCGGCGGCCCGCGGCAGCCCTCGGTGGCCCTCAGTGGCCCTCGGCGGCCCTCGGCGGCCCTCGGCGGCCTGCGGCGGCCTGCGGCGGCGGCCTGCGGCGGCCGTCTGCGGCGGTGCGGCGGCGGTGTGGGGGCCGTCGGCGGCCTTCGGAGGTCTCTGCGGCGGCTGGGGGCGGCCTTCTGGTCGCCATCGGCGGCTTTCGGGGGGCTTCGGCGGCGGGAGGGGGGCGGGCCGTGCTGGGGAGGGGGTCGCCCTGGCGCGCTCCCACCACCGTCCCCATCCCCACGCCCGTCGAGGGCGGCCAAGATGGGGGTGAGGACTTAGGGGGAGGGGGGAATCAAGGCCGGCGCAATGACACCTCCTCGGACTTCATGGCCCCCCTCTTCCTCGTTTTCTTCTTCTGATTCGCATGCCTCTTCTCATTCCCCGAACAGTGCGTGCATGTAAAGGATCGTGCAAGTTTGTGTGGGCCTGACCGTCGGTCTGGCGGCTCCGTGGTCGCCGTCGCCGCCCCGTCGCCGCCTCGTCGCCGCCCGTCGTCTGGGCCTAACCGTCGGTGTGGCGGCTATACTGTTGCCGCCGCCGCCCCGTCGCCGCCTCGTCGCCGTTCGTCGTCGGGGCCTGACCGTCGGCCTGGCGGCTATATTGTCGCAGTCGCCGCGTTCGTCACCGCATCGCATCGGTTCCCCTTTTTTACAATGAGTTGGCATCCGCCACCTCCCAGATGCTGGTTGAATCCCCCTGGGGAGGTGCAAATTACATACGATGTTGCCCCATTCGTTGACGAAAAATACAGATTAAGACGATCTCCGCCAAAGTGGTATCGCCCCCTTCACCCTTTGCAAGACATGCTATGTGCGCACACGTCTCCATCTTCAAAGATTTGTGTCGGAAGCCGCTTGCACAATCAACGGTGCGAAGTGCACACACGCGTGCAGTCGCGCGCGCGCATCCCGAAACCATTCAGCAAAAACTGGTTGCCGTAAGGATATCGGAATCGATGGTCCCGAAAACATCTATGACATCAGTGGCCTCGCGACAGGAATTGTCAAAGAAGCCTGCGCTCGCGCTCTTGCAGATTCAAGATATATCAGTTCGCAGCAAATAAATCAGATGCGACCAAACGTGCACCTCGCGCGCGCATGTCGAAGTCATTCGAACGCCTTTCGCGCGCGAGCTGTCGCAAGAACCTCTTGCACGAGAAAATGACACGAAGTGCAAGCGCGTGTCGTCGCGCGCATGCCAGAACAAATGAAGAACTTTCAGAATTTCGCAAGGATCTCACTCAAAATCGAGCGCCCCGAAAACGCTAAACCAACTTATTGGTTTCGCAACAGGAATTTCCAAAACAAATTGCGCTCGCGCTCCTGCGAAGCCGACGGTTTTCTTGCACATGTCCACCAAGTGCTACCAACTGCGCCTCTCGCACGCACATGTCGACATCAATCGAAAGCCCTTGCGCGCTTGCTGCGGGGCGGGGGCAGGGGCGCGCCCCTCGTCAAATCATAACATTCGGGGCACTCGCGCGCGCCAGGCGCGCGCAAATCCGAGCCACTTGCTCGCATTGAAATTCCCGCGCCTCAGCGCGGCCTGCGAGGCGCGCTGGGATGTCCAGCGGTCTGCGCCACCGCGGCCGCGTCGGTCGAGGCAGACTATCTGCGGGAGTTCTTGCAACGGGTATTTACCCCCCAAAGCGCGCGCTCGCGCACTTGCGAGTTCGACCGCAACACCTACAATAAAAAGCCAACAAGCGGGCCTCTCGAGCGCGCATGTCGAAATCATTCGAACGCCCCTGCTCGCGCGTTGTGGAAGGGGCGGGGGGGGGGGCGCGATCCCTGTCAAATAAAACCGCGCGGGCCATCCGCGCGCATCGGCCGCGCGCGCCGACGTCATTCCAAGTCTTCATCGCGGTCGCGAGGGCGCCATCCTCGTTGCCAGCGCAATCAGCATCGGCGGCGCTATTGGCCTTGCTATCGTCACCATCATCGTCACCATCACCGCAACTGTCCCCATCGCGGCAACCGTTGCCGACGTCGCCACAATACCGCGCCCGCCCAAGTCACCGAGTCGCACTGAAGTGCCCACGCGTCAGCAGGGCCTGCGAGACGCGCTGGGGAACGCCCAGCCGTCAGCGCCTCCGCGGTCACTTCGGTCGCTTCAAACTGGCGGGCCGCTGCTCGCGCAAGCACGCGCTGGCTAGCGCGGCCGCGGAGATGCACCAGCAAGCGCCGCGCACTTATCGCAATGGCCGCCGCGTGGGTTTTGCAAGCTAAGTTGCGGGCAGGTGTGTGGGCGAGATGGTTGCGTGAGCAGTGGAGTTGACAACGCCGTGTGTGTGTGTGTGTGTTTTTGTTTGCATAGTGCACCGCGTGGATATTTTGAAACCTGCATCGCATTGCGCAGTGCAGCATGT